CAGCACCCACATAAAAAAAGCTAGTGTGCTACTGCCCCCTACTGGATTTGACAAGAGATAACAACAGTAGAGAGGCTTTCAAAATGTGTTCGGCTTCGAGCGATGAAGGGTAGTTGTCACTTTTCATTTGGCTTTTCTCAGTCTTTTTTTTTTTAGGTACACTTCTGTTTAAAAGTTTGTGGTCCGTAAGATTTTGAAAAGAAATTAATACCTTTCAGAACAAATTTAATTGATCAAATGTGCTTGATCATAAATGCTGTTCTTTTGATCTTTCTGTTAATCAAAGAATCCTGAAAAAAAGCATCAGGGTTTCCACAAAAACCTCAAGCAGCACAAATGCTTTCAACATTGATAAGGAAAGTTTCTTGAGCAGAATTAGACTCTTAAGACACTGAAAACTGTAGGAATGGCTGCTGAAAATTCAGCTTTGCCATCACAGAAATTAATTCTATTTTAAAATATATTAAAATAGAAAAGTTATTTTCAGTAGTGTTTTTCCTGTGCCCCAGACCTCAAATGCCTCCATATCTAGGCTTATTGACACAGTTACCACCACCAGGCCAGATCCAGCTAGATGCACATGACAAAGAAACATAAGCCCCAGTCTTCTCTGTTCATTATATCGCAACTGCAATTTTGCATTAAAATACTACAAATATTTTTTTTCAAATTAGATTTTGACTGACATTTTTAAACAACATTTTTATTACGAAGTGTACAAAACATGCAGGGATTAATCAGAATCAGGTTTGTATTCAAGTGGATGGAATGACCAAGCTAGACCAGACATGATTCAACTGGCCCACTTTTTTTGTTCTCTTTCCTGAGGGGGATTCATTATCTGGCATGTGAGAGTCTCTTCAGATATGCCTCCCAGCCTGCAGTTCTGTATTCTTCTGCAGCTCTGAGCAGATCTGAGCTGGCAAGAATACCTCGTCCCACAATTATGATATCAGAGCCTTTAGTGCAGATCACATCTTCTGGACTTGAATACTGCTGTCCAAGTCCATCCTCTGAAGAATAAAAGAGAAATTAATTAAGAACACGTATCAGATCTGAAATAAATTAATGAATGAATTCAAATAAAATAAAATGACAAATACTTCTATTATAAATAGTTAAAATACAACATTCTATTAAAAGGCATTTTCGTTTTATTGTAGCATCACCTTTCTTCTAACAAGACTCCTTATTTTATCATAAAACACAGAAAAGCTAATGCCAGCCCAGTGTGTACAGTAAAACATACTGCATTTGCAGTATGCATTTGCACTCCTGGAGTCATGTGAACCAAACCCGGCTTTTCACTGATCTTTGATCCACTTATAAATCCAAACACAAAATCTGTGTGGTCTTCAGCCATCTTGACCTGGAAGACATATACCAGGTTTTTACAATATATTTTCGCTAAAAACTCTAGAACTGTTTTTGGCTTAACTCTGTTAAAAATCTCCTCAAAAGAGTTAACTGAATAAAAAACGTTTTCTCACAGGGTTAAAACTAGTGGTCGACCGATATTGTTTTTTTGACAGCCGATGGCCGATCTTGGAAAACAGGGTGGCCGATGGCCGATATAAAGCCGATATAATTGTATTTATTTTAATTAATATTTAAGAAATTTGAAATCATTTGAAAATGGATTCAAAAAGAAAATTAAATAAAAATACTTAGGGTGATATCAGGCAAATTGGGCCATCAGGTAAAATGGGCCATTTAAGGTTTGAGTGTCTTATCTCTTTAAAAGTTAACAGCCAATGACTGCAAGTATAAAGTATAAGTCAATTTATTGGCCTTAAACCGCAGTTATGACAAGTATATAAGCGTGATGTGAGACACTTTTGTGTTTTAGTAATCTAATTAATCGGACCTGCATTGACCCCGGTTGTTTTTTTGTTCAACAGGGAAGAGGATCCTGTTTGTCCCATATCCACTACATGATCGAGACACCTATACCAAGACTGCCAGAGACAAGTTCAAGACATTGGGTTTGTGTCTTGTTGATTTTACCACATGTACAGTCATGGCCAAAAGTTTTGGCAGTAACATACATTTTGTGTTTTGCAAAGTTTGCTGCTTCAGTATTTGTAGATTATTTTTCCACAGGTTTCTATGGTATACTGAAAAACAATGATAAGCAAATCATAAGTTTTAAAGGCTTTTATTGGCAAAAAATATCGCTCTTGCAGGACGTTTTTATACCATTCTTTATTCATGGCAGTGTTTGTGGGCAGAATTATGAGGGAGCCCACTCCCTTGGTTGAAAAGCAACCACACACATGGATGGTCTCAGGATGCTTCACTGCTGGCACTTCACAGGACTCATGGTAGCGTTCACCTTTTCTTCTCCGAACAATCGATTTTCCAGATGTCCCAAACAGTTAGAAGGGAGCTTCATCAGAGAAAATAATTTTGCACCAGTCTTCTGTTGTCCAATCCTTGTACTTCCTGCTGAATTTCAGTCTGTCCTTGTCGTTTTTCTTGGAGAGAAGTGGCTTCTTTGCTGCCCTTCTTGACACCAGGCCGTTGTCCAAAAGTCTTGGCCTCACTGTGCGTGCAGATGCTCTCACACCAACCTGCTGCCGTTCCTGAGCAAGCTCTGCACTGCTGATGACACGATTCCGTAGCTGACTCATCAGGAGTCCTGGCGCTTGCTGTACACTCTGGGACGTCCTGAAGACTTCTTCACTGTAGTCAGACCTCTTTCCTGAAGTCGTGGCCTAATGGTTAGAGAGTCGGACTCATAACCCAAAGGTTGTGGGTTCGAGTCTTGTACCGGCAGGGATTGTCGGTGGGGGGAGTGAATGTACAGCGCTCTCTCCCACCTGCAATACCACGACTGAGGTGCCCTTGGGCAAGGCACCGAACCCCCAACTGCTCCCCGGGTGCCGCAGCATATATGGCTGCCCACTGCTCTGGGTGTGTGTGTGTGCGCGCGCGCGCGCACTTAGGATGGGTAAATGCAGAGCACTAATTCCGAGTATGGGTCACCATACTTGGCCACATGTCACATCACTCACTCACTTATTCATTCTGACAGAATGAATAATTTGGGTTGTCATTATGTTCTTGTTTTGAAAAAAATAATAATAAAGATCACTAAAACTATTCAAAATAATTGTTAATTGACAAAAATGAAAAAAAAAAAATTGTAATAAAAATTTATAAATATTAGCAAACGTAATAATTTGAACTGTTGCCTGAGCAACTAATTGAAATAAAATAATGTGTATAATTTAAAAATCCCTGCATCACAGGGTTGAATTCTCATGTTTTCAGTATGGTCTTAGACTTTGTGCTGTACTGTTTTTGTGTCCAATAGGTGGCGCCTGCTGAAACACATTCTGCCTGCTGAAAGCCCTCTATTACAACAAGCTGGTAACTGAGATTAGAAAGAGAGTTTTAGAGGTTAGTGTCTTGATTAATCAAAAACTAATTCCAAAACTCTCACCAATGACATGCCCATTGTCTATACACCCACATTTGCTGCCATTGGTTTAGTGCCCTTCAACATTAACCCTCACTATCTGGATCCTGATCCCAGCAGCAAACATATGGGGGTATGAACAGTTGATCATGCGCAACAGCATGACTAATTATCCATATTGAATCCATAAACCCCCCCCCTCCCAAAAAAAAATGCAGTGCCATATTGTGTGAAAAATGATTGCCATAAATGAAAAAAATAACCCTACTGAAAATATAAAATGTAATAAACCAAACTTTGAAAGTAGATCGTTCAGGCATCATGAACGCAGATTTGATTTTGCATTTTACAGGAAACACATGAACAGAGAATTATCCAATACCACAAGGAGCTGGACACACCATGTGTGCTGGTATGTTAACGTACACTACTGCTTGGGTCAGTAAGTCTATTTAATGATCAGCAAAGATGCATTATATTTATAAACTGTGAAACAATTGCTTTCAGGATTCTTTGATAAATAGAAAGTTCAAAGAAAAGCATTTATTTGAATTAGAAATCTTTTGTAACAATCTGTACTGTTACTTTTGATCACTTTAATGCATCCTTGCTAAATAAAAAAATATTGATTCTTCAAAGAAAGAAAATCAAAAAAAGTTGAGCACTACCATTGTATGTTGTTGATGGCAGGGTCTTCGGGAAGGCTCGATGCTCTTAGTGGAGGGAAACAATGCCACTGTAACGAATCAGCTCACGACAGGAAATATGAATAATTAACCATAACTAGTTATAATTAACTATTCATATTTTAGATCCGCTGTAGATATTTAGCTGACCTCTCAGGGTCAACTGTCTTGTCAA